GAATTAGATTAGAAATGAAAAAGGAGAAGTAATAACTGACACTGCAGAAATACAAAGGATCATGAGAGATTACTACAAGCAAGTATATGCCAATAAAATGGACAACCTGGAAGAAATGAACAAATTCTCAGAAATGCACAACCTTCCGAGACTGAACCAGGAAGAAATAGAAAATATGAACAGAACAATCACAAGCATTGAAATTGAAGCTGTGATTAAAAACCTTCCAACAAATAAAAGCCCAGGACCAGATGGCTTCACTGGCGAATTCTATCAAACATTTAGAGAAGAGCTAATAACACCTATCCTTCTCAAACTCTTCCAAAATACAGCAGAGGGAGGAACACTCCCAAACTCCTTCTACGAGGTCACCATCACCCTGATACCAAAACCAGACAAAGAAGTCGCAAAGAAAGAAAACTACAGGCCAAAATCACTGATGAACATAGATGCAAAAATCCTCAACAAAATACTGGCAAACAGAATCCAACAGCACATTAAAAGGATCATACACCATGATCAAGTGGGGTTTATCCCAGGAATGCAAGGATTCTTCAATATATGCAAATCAGTCAATGTGATACACCATATTAACAAATTGGAGGAGAAAAACCATATGGTCATCTCAATAGATGCAGAAAAAGTTTTCGACAAAATTCAACACCCATTTATGATAAAAACCCTCCAAAAGTAGGCATAGAGGGAACTTACCTCAACGTAATAAAGGCCATATATGTCACACCCACAGCCAACATCGTCCTCAATGGTGAAAAACTGAAACCATTTCCACTAAGAGCAGGAACAAGACAAGGTTACCCACTCTCACCACTGTTATTCAACATAGTTTTGGAAGTTTTAGCCACAGCAATTAGAGAAGAAAAAGAAATAAAAGGAATCCAAATCGGAAAAGAAGAAGTAAAGCTGTCACTGTTTGCAGATGACATGATACTATATAGAGAGAATCCTAAAGATGCCACCAGAAAACTACTAGAGCTAATCAATGAATTTGGTAAAGTAGCAGAATACAAATTTATGCACAGAAATCTCTGGCATTCCTATAAACTAATGATGAAAAATCTGAAAGTGAAATTAAGAAAACACTCCCATTTACCACTGCAACAAAAAGAATAAAATATCTAGGAATAAACCTACCTAAGGAGACAAAAGCCCTGTATGCAGAAAATTATAAGACAGTGATGAAAGAAATTAAAGATGATACAAATAGATGGAGAGATATACCATGTTCTTGGATTGGAAGAATCAACACTGTGAAAATGACTCTACTACCCAAAGCAATCTACAGATTGAATGCAATCCCTATCAAACTACCACTGGCATTTTTTACAGAACCAGAACAAAAAAATCTCACTATTTGTGTGGAAACACAAAAGACCCCAAACAGCCAAAGCAATCTTGAGAAAGAAAAATGGAGCTGGAGGAATCAGGCTCCCTGACTTCAGACTATACTACAAAGCTACAGTAATCAAGAGAGTATGGTACTGGCACAAAAACAGTAATATGGATCAACAGAACAGGATGGAAAGCCCAGAGATAAACCCACACACATATGGTCAACTTATTGTGTTTTGTTTTTGTTTTTGTTTTGGCGGTATGCAGGCCTCTCACTGTTGTGGCCTCTCCCACTGCGGAGCACAGGCTCTGGACGCGCAGGCTCAGCAGCCATGGCTTACGGGCCCAGCCGCTCCGTGGCATGTGGGATCTTCCCGGACCGGGGCACAAACCCGTGTCCCCTGTATTGGCAGGCGGACTCTCAACCACTGCGCCACCAGGGAAGCCCGGTCACCTTATTTTTGATAAAGGTGGCAAGAATATACAATGCAGAAAAGACAGCCTCTTCAATAAGTGGTTCTGGGAAAACTGGACAGCTATATGTAAAATAATGATATTAGAACCCTCCCTAACACCATACACAAAAATAAACTCAAAATGGATTAAAGACCTAAATGTAAGGCTAGATACTATTAAACTCTTAGGCAGAACACTTCATGACATAAATCACAGCAAAACATAGGCAGAACACTTCATGACATACATCACAGCAAGATCCTTTTTGACCCACCTCCTAGAGAATTGGAAATAAAAACAAAAATAAACAAATGGGACCTAATGAAACTTAAAAGCTTTTGTACAGCATAGGAACCCAGAAACAAGATGAAAAGACAACCCTCAGAATGGGAGAAAATATTTGCAAATGAAGCAACTGACACAGGACTAATCTCCAACATTTACAAGCAACATTTACAACATTTACAACATTTACAATATCAAAAAAACAAAGAACCCAATCCAAAAATGGGCAGAAGACCTAAATAGACATTTCTCCAAAGAAGATATACAGATTGCCAACAAACACATGAAAGAATGCTCAACATCATTAATCACTAGCGAAATGCAAATCAAAACTACAATGAGATATCGTTTCACACTGGTCAGAATGGCCATCATCAAAACATCTACAAACAATAAATGCTGGAGAGGCTGTGGAGAAAAGGGAACCCTCTTGCACTGTTGGTGGGAATGTAAATTGATACAGCCACTAATGGAGAACAGTATGTATATTTCTTAAAAAACTAAAAATAGAACTACCATACGACCCAGCAATCCTACTACTGGGCATATACCGTGAGAAAACCATAATTCAAAAAGAGTCATGTACCACAATGTTCACTGCAGCTGTATTTACTATAGCCAGCATATGGAAGCAACCTAAGTGTCCATCAACAGATGAATGGATAAAGAAGATGTGGCACATATATACAATGGACTATTACTTAGCCATAAAAAGAAACGAAACTAAATTATTTGTAGTGAGGTGGATGGACCTAGAGTCTGTCATACAGAGTGAAGTTAAGTCAGAAAGAGAAAAACAAATACCGTATGCTAACACATATATATGGAATCTAAGAAAAAACAAAAAATGGTCATGAAGAACCTAGGGACAAGACGGAATAAAGATGCAGACCCACTAGAGAATGGACTTGAGGATATGGGGAGGGGGAAGGGTAAGCTGGGACAAAGTGAGAGAGTGGCAATGGACACATATATACTACCAAATGTAAAACAGATAGCTAGTGAAAAGCAGCCGCATAGCACAGGGAAATCATCTCGGTGCTTTGTGACCACCTAGAGCGGTGGGATAGGGAGGGTGGGAGGGAGGGAGACGCAAGAGGGAAGAGATATGGGGATATATGTATAACTGAATCACTTTGTTATAAAGCAGAAACTAATATACCATTGTAAAGCACTTATACTCCAACAAAGTTGTTTAAAAAAAAAAAAGTAAAGCAGTATTAAAAGTCAGAAGTTTAATACAAAGAGATAGAATGCTTAGAGACCTGTGAATAATACTGAAAATAAGCTGGAAAAATTGTAGAGCTGTGCAACTAAAGTGCTGGGGAAAACAGCCAAACGAGCAGTGCTGTCCTCCACAGGCTAGGCGTGCATACCAGTCCTCTCTACTGGTGAGGGCTGCCATTAACTTTCACATTAGACTTCACCTAAATGCTCAAGGTCAGTCAGTGTATTGGGTTCTATGCTTACACAAAGCGAGAAATATTCAATGACTGCTATCTATTTGATAACACAACAAACAGTGTATTCTCAGGATTTTCAATAGTTACTGGAATACACAATAGTGTATTCTCAGGATTTTCAATAGTTCACTTCTCCTTTCTCTGGTACTGTTTGCCACCTCACTATCATGAAGGAAGCGGCTTTGTGAGAAGAATCCAGTACACACCAAGTAAGGCAGAGTAGAAAGACTGAAAAGCCAGAGGTCTGATCCAACTACATCTAAAGGCCAAGGTTCCCATACTGTAAAGGGAGGGGAAAAGAATCCTATGAAATCCTACCTTGCCCAAACTTTTTTTGCTTTTTTTGGGGGGTGGGGACAGCTGTTTTTAGGAGATATTAAGAAGGGTTTGAGAGAAAAAAAGGGAGAGTATCAAGGTCCAATGAATTCATGAAATACTGCATATTATACTCCCCTCTTGGTGATTCACAATACAAACACTGGCTAAAACTCCAGAATACCCCTCTGTAAGGAAAATTATTTGTTCAATTCAGCATTTCCCAAACCTATCTGACCATTTAAAAAATGAACTGTTAAAATCACTAATGTGATCTCCTAAACACCGTTTGGAAAAAAAGAAATGACAAGCTTTTATGCTCCACAGGTACTTCTCTTGAAGCTTTCCCAACTTAAATAGGATAAATTAGGGTTGCCTAGTAGAAATGCCATCCTGCAGCATAAGCTGTTAAAAAAAACTGTTTTAATTGCCTGCGTTTTATTCATCATAGCAATAGGTAATAAAAGTGCTAAATATATCTAAAAACACTCTAGAATGGATTATTGATAATACTGATGGTGAAATACAAAGAAAGGCCCTTATTACAAAAAACTAGATGTAATCAAGAGCTGAATTTGCCTTGTGCTGTTCAGGATTTACCTTTAGTTTATACGATTATTTTATTTTTTAAAAAACTCTAACATTAAGAAAAAATGTTTTAATTTCAAATCTGAAATACTCTCCTCTTTCCTATTGAAATAATTGTTTTTATACTACAATTGTCTCTCAATGTCAACTTTCTTAGGAATCAAGTTAATAGTACAACTGAGTGTATCTACTACCATCAGATGCACCGAGTTAACCAAGAATGATAAAATAGGGGAAAGGAGACAAGACTCAAAGTAAGTCACTCAAAAGAGTGGTGGTAGGTGCAGGCAGGAAACACACTACATACAGATCAAGTCTCACTACAGGAGAGGCATAGATTCCAAAGGTTTCTATGTGATATAGTGGAGTAGAATTTTATGCATAGGTTAGTCTAAAATAAGTAAGGAAGACAGAAATTACCCTAGAGAGTATATGTGACATTTTCAGATGGCACAAATTGGTTTGCTATGCTTTGAAATGATCTGAACATACTATTTTTTTATTAAAACAATTCCAAAAAGAAATAGGAAACCAATTTCTTACCTGCCAAAGAGACTATCATGAACAACATAGACAGAACACACGCTGAGATCTATTAATCCTTTTGGTTTTGTAGCTCGTTTTTCACTTTCAAAATAAATAAGTTGGGCATCACTGCCCTCTAAGATAAAATATAAATTTTTCCACCTTTTTCCTTTGCCTGTTAAAAAAAATTGTTTCCCCTTAGCCAAATAATGAACTATGAAGTCATATATAGTAAAATCATAAAAATTATTGTTGCTAAAAATTAAATATATTTTTATTCCAAAGCTTAAATAACACCAATCCTTACAAAATGAGAAAGTGTCTGTAATATATCTGTAGAAAAATATCTTTTGTTATATTGCTTGCTTTAATGAGTCACTGAGTAAGTGACAAGGGTACCTTAACAGTATGTTTAGAGATTTCATTATGATAAAATCTTTAAAATTCTTGCTTAGGATTCATACTTTTCCAGTCATGAGAAAAAAAACTCTTCTACTAATCATGCACCCCTCAATGCCCCAACATTTCTTAATGCCAAACTGAGGCAAATACATAAAATAGAAACATCAATACTATGAATGTGCCAAGTGCCAATAAGAATTTTCTCTTAAAAAATAAAAAAGTTATGGGGTAGAGAGGGGCTCAAGAATCAGATACCAACTTATTAAATACGTATCTCAATGATAAGTTTTATGCCCAATATTTACAATGCTTCTAATAAATGTTAACGGTAAAATACTGAAATTGAATCTTTAGTCTTAAAAGTTTCACACTTACCTTTTTTTAGAAGATAACCTTTTTTAACAATGTTTTTATAAAAGGCATCCTTTGTTTTACGACGAATTGTATTATAAATTTCCTTGCCATCCACTGTATCATTGAGTACTTGTTCTTGATCCTGAATTTTCAAAAATACTAAAATTATTTCATGAATTCTTGATGGAAATGAAGTAAAACCTACTAAACTACCAATTTAAAAACCAGATTGTCTGTCTACATTAAAAAAATTTTAATACTGAAATCTAAAATAATGTAACATATATATTATTAAGAGATCTTTGCTTTCCAAAGAAATTTTCAAAAAAGTAAGCTTACCATTTCTCAAGAATATGGACAACTAATAAGCTTTTTATTTGAAAAATAGAGCGTGTTTTTATGTTTTACAAGCAGCATTGTTTTGAAAACATGAATTTGTCCAAGCATAACTGATAGATTAGAACCAATTTGAGCATAAAGCAAATTCATGTTTGCTTACGGACAATTATATCCATGAGAAACTCTATGTGAATGCAGAAAATTGCACCCAGCTGAACTGAGATGCCTAGGAATATGCAAAATACATCACAAAAGCCTAAAAGCCTCCCCAGCTTCACCGAGTGTTACACGCCATACCCATCCATCCACATCTGGTGTTCTAATGTATCTAATTTCAGATAATCCTCCTTGTACCACTTCCCGCTATTTACAGCCCTTCTGATGGCCTCTTCCACAAGTAAACTTCAGGTCTTTTTCAAGGTAAAATGCCTTATTTATTGTAATATTTAAATATTTCTTACCCATTTAGCATGTATAAAAACTACGCTACATTTTTACTAGCTTCTTATCTTTATGTGTCACTGATGAAGTTTTTGAGTGTTGTACCCTTAACCCCCCCTTTTTCCATAATCCTGTGGTTTTTATTGTATGATTTCATATAACACCATGACTTACAGGAATGCATGTGTGTTAAATGCTAAATCCCTGCCCCCCTCCAAGTAACAAAAAGAATTATGATGTCAGGAAGAATACAAAGAGAAGAGTGCTTCTATAAATGATCTTCCCAAAATAAGTCAATCTTCAATATTACCATCAAGGTCCAATGGACCCAATTTTAGTTTTTAGTTTCTTTCTTGAGCAGCTCTTACTATTTGCAAGAATTAATATTTTATGACTTTGTTTTCTTAGAAACTTATGGATCCAGCTGATCGTTTTATAAATCTAAGATACGTTATGGGATTTTCACGAATTATATTTTTCCTATATCTTGAAACACTCTGCTATTTCATCATCGTAGGAACAATTTCATCATGACTTAACAATTATTCTCGAGTATGCCAAAGAGCAGGCACTGGCAAACCACAGCACATGGACCAAATCTAGCCTACTGCCTGTTTTTGGACATAAGGTTTTATTGGAACACAGCCATGGCTCATTCCTTTACATACTATCTGTGGTTGCTTTCACACTACAAAGGCAGTTTAGTAACTGAGACAGAGACTGAATGGCCCACAAAACCTAAAATGTTTATTATCTGGTCCTTTACAGAAAAGTTTGCCAGCCCTTGGTCTAGAGCGTGATCCAACAGTGAAATAAATCATCTCTATTGCATCACCCTTTGGCATTTTTTACTCTGTGGCCAACTATTGTAGCATCTTTCAAAAAAGTATAAAAGGCCATCTTTGTTATATTTTTATTAGTTTTCATTGAACGCATAAGAAAATTCAGAATTCTTAATTTTCTGATCATAACAGCAAAGAGAAAAAAATTGACAAAGAAAGATGCTTGACAATTATAAAAAGACTCAGATGATAAATGCAAAGAAACAGCAAGACTCTGGGATCTATTGTGATGATAAAATTGATTTTGATAAGCAAAATCTCAGACTATAATTCTTCAGATGGTAATCTCCTTGGTGATTTTTCTCAAACTAAGAATCGCTGAGTAAATGATATATTTCTAGGGGAAAAGAAATATAGTGCTCTCATCTAGTTAGTGATTCAATAGGAAGGACATCATCATGCAATAATTTGTAACAAGAATCTAGATTATCCTGTTTCCTAAAAGGAAATGAGGATTCTTTAAATTTTTATGATTGTGCACCAAGATTTACTCAGTATGATTTGTAAATGGACAAAGGTTACCAGAAGGAAACATATAATGTAGAAATTTAAAAATTCACCATATTGATCATTCTGATGTCTATAAACCTAAACATAAAAATGTATTACACTTATGAAGCAATAAAGACTGTACTATCCAACAAAATAATGAACCATCAAAGTTTTCAAAAGTATTGCAGTTGATGATGCAAGAACAGCAAGAAAGAATCATAAACTAGAACCCAGTTGAAATATATTTAAAATCTGGAATCAGTACTGCATTTTGACAGTAAAAACGTAAGAAGAACCAGAGTAATCATAAGCAAGAACTTATAAAAGATGTATCTGAAATTTGGATTTACAAGATGGATATGTTCCAAGTCCATGCATGACAGTGGATGAACAGTTAGCTGCATTCTATTTCACGTAGGTAACCCTTTATAACCAAGGAAATATGTAACAAAAATGGGGTTTGCTACATTTAAATTCTTATTAAATTTTCTAATAAAGTTTTTTTGTACTAAAGCTTTATTCTTCTACAAATTATTCAGAAAATGACTAAGAATATAAAAAATTTTAAAAGATACATTGTACCCAGATGATAAATAGTGATGACTACCCTTCCTAGTTGTATAGATTTGTGCTTACCAGTCTTTATTACAGTAGTGATAATATTTACTGTTAGGTGCAGAATGGGGCACATTTGTAGTTTATTATTTAAGACATATTACTACACCTACATTTAGATTTAAATATCTGATTTCAAGATAATCTATATAAGTCTTTCCTACTTATTTTAAGATAGGGGCTGATCAACTGATCTGTAACTCCTACATTAGAAGACACCGCAGGCAAGGACACAACCTCACAGTCCAAGTTCCAGTAAATTACTGGATGACAGTAGGGAAGGCTTCTCAGCCTACTCTTTGTACACAGTTCTGAAGAAGGAAGTCTTATATACATTACTCCCCAAGGGAAGTAGATAATCTGACAGGTGAGAGTCTAACAGCCACTGAAGCAAGCTTTTGCATAGCGGTTAGGTGTGCAGGCTCCTGTAACCAGACCTCAGTTGTAAATCCTGCCTTTGTCACGTAATGGCTAAGAAAACTCATTTAATAAATTAATACAATAAATGTCTGTTGAGTGCCAGGTACTGTTCTAGTTCTTGAGATACATCAGTAAATAAATCAAATATCTTTACCTCCAAGGAACTTATCTACCAATGAAGAAAAGAGATAATAAACATAATAAGCAAATTGTATGTTAATAGGTGGTAAGTGCTCTACAGGGTAGGGCAAGTAGCAGCAACAAATAATGTGTACAAGTAGGTCTCAATTGTGAAGCTAATTTCTGAGCCGAATTTGAAAGAAATAACAGAGTGAGGCGAGTGGATATTTGAGGGAAAGTCATTTTGAGCAGAGTGAACAGCTGGAACAAAGATTCTAATGCCAAGATCCTGGCATATTTTTTAAAATAGCAGAGAAGCCAGCGTGAGTGGAGACGAGTGAGAGAGAAGGATGGTAGAAAGCGTTCAGAGGACCACCATGGGATACCACTCTAGGGTTTTGCATGCCACTGCAGGGACTCTGGCTTTTACTCTGAATGAAATGTAGAACACCTGTAAGTGTTAAACAGAGGCTTGAAATGGTCTGACACATTTTAAATGGATCCCTCTGACTGCAGTGCAGTGTTAAGCGGGGGCAAAAGTAGAAACAGAGAGATGAAGCCAGATTCTGGTGATGGTTGTATTCTAGATATATTTTGAAGGCAGAGACAGCATGATGTTCTTGACAGTTTGGATACAGAGTGTAGGAGAGAAAAAGAAGAGTCAAGGATGACTTGATGCCTTAAGTAATTTACTCTCTGGTTCCAGTTTCCCTATCTGTAAAGTGGGCATAATTACAGGATCAACCTCATCAAATTGTTTAAAAAGTTAAATAGGGCTTCCCTGGTTGCGCAGTGGTTGAGAGTCCGCCTGCCGATGCAGGGGACACGGGTTCGTGCCCCGGTCCGGGAAGATCCCACGTGCCACGGAGCGGCTGGGCCCGTGAGCCATGGCCGCTGAGCCTGCGCGTCCGGAGCCTGTGCTCCGCAACGGGAGAGGCCACAACAGTGAGAGGCGCGCGTACCGCAAAAAAAAAAAAAAAGTTAAATAAATTAATACGTATAAGAAACAGTGCCTAAAACATAGTGCTCCAAAAATGTTAGATATCAATATTTTTAGTGTGGGGTGCATTGTCTCAAAAGGCTCCTTCTTTTCCTCTAATTTGTCTGAAGTGTTAGTTCCACTAAGTAAGCACACCTAGCTAGGACTCTGCTCTTTCTCTTCCAGCATCTTACCCGGAGTGGGAGTATGCAGGGTCACCTCAGGGGGAATGAGATGATTCTGCTAGCTAATCACTTTTACATTAATAAAAGGACATTATTAGCCTTTGGGTTCTCTAATAGTTAGAATCCTGCTAGGAAGGATAGGTAAGTGTTATGATTCTCAAACTTCTACTGTAACCTACTTTTACTCCAGGCCCAAAATAATTGACTTCAAATAGCATTTAATGGTTTTTGTGAAGTAATCAAACTGTTCTGTAATCAGCATCTGTTATTTCTGAAGTATTCAAAGCATTATAGGCATTTTTGCAAATGACAGTAATCTGAGGTTTGTTCAGTTATGAAACAGTAACACAAGTAAGAATGAGGCTCACTGTATATTTGAAGTAATTCTTAAAACTATCTCGTAACGTAAGTATAAAGTTTAAGTTTACTAGATGTCAAATGCTATTTTTCCAACTGTAAAAAATTAAATTAGAAAATTCTAAGCATAAATTCAGGATGGGAAAAATGCATGACTTAACTTGTGGGCCAATAAAATAAAATTTGTTAAAAAAAATTTGTTGACTTAAAAACAATTTAAAATCATCATAAATTCAAACAGCCAATGTGAATCAGAATTAAGGATATAGCAATGGGACAGAGTGGCAGGATCTGTCATTTGTAGGTAAAGGCACCTCTGATCCCTAATAAAAAGATCCTAAGCTGTGGTTTCTAGAAAGCACATACCACACTATGTGGTTTTAAAAAAAATTGGTCCGCCAGAACTGCCAACAAAAGTGGTACATCATTGCTAACTACAGATACTAGGAGGGTGTCAACAAGGAAGTAAAACTTGAGATGGATCTTAAACTTGCAGGATTTAGATAGGCAGACAGGAAGAAACTGACATGGAGATGGCAACAAACACAATAAGATACATTAGTGATAATTCAGAGGATGAAGTGAGTGCTTCCTGTTGGAGAGGAGCTATTCATTCAATATTGATTGAATACCTAATGCCTAGTACTATTCTAGGTACTAGGAATACAACACAAAACACTTGCCCTCCTGAACTTTACATTCTACCAGAAAAGCATGAGGAAGTGAAGCAAGATACATTAAAATGTCTCAAGATGATGATTCTTAAATTTATATTAAGCATCAGAATAATGATGCCCCCTCTTCAGCAGCTGCAATGAATAGTAGGCTATAACCATCAGAAACTAACTTGTTTGGAGGAAGAAATATTGAGAAGCTCAAGACACTACAAATACCTGTGAAGGTTTAGTGGGGCACCCAAAACCTCTCACAATCCTTCTTTATGTCCCTAGAATATCACTACCTCCATTTTCCACATAGGAAAATTCTTATTTACTCCTTTGAAGTACCTTTTTCTAACCCCTGCTACAACCTTTTCCCACCACACTTTAGGAAGTATCATGGGCAAGAAACAGAAGCTAATCAATCACCCTATGCATTAAGCAACTAGTATGCAACAGGCCCTCTTGTTCAAGGCCAGTCTTCTTATGTTCTGGACTTCAGCCACTCCTGCCTTCTCTAGGACCTTGTACGTGGGGTATTGCCATTACCCCATCCCTCACCCACCACTGTCACTCTCCTCCCGAGTACAGAGACATGCTCAAAAGTTTCTCACCATAAAACTACAGGCAAGTAAAACAAAGAAATAAAAAGTTTAAAGGTCTTTTGGCCCTACATCATCTTCTAGCTATCATTTTTTATTTATTTTCTTTTCTTACCAATCTCACCTAGATAAGCCTGGCTGTGATTTATCCTGGCTGTCTCCACTTTTGCCTCCAACAAACTCACTCCTTGACCCAGTGCAACTAGGCTTCTGTCCCCACCACTGCTTCTATTCTCAAAAAGCCACCAAGGGCTTCCTAATAATTATCTAGAACCAATATAAATAAAAACTAAGAGATTCGCTTACAAGTATTCACTTTCTGAAAGAATCTGAATAATCTGCAGTTTTAAATTTTATCCAATTTCAAATGCATGGATGTGTGCATAAACATATCACCAAAAATGCATTTTAAAATAAAATGCTAATTATTGTTAAAAGAAAAACAACACTGACCTGCATTGGTACAGGTTCCTTAAGATAATACCCTTCAACAATTTGTTCTTTTCGATAGTGATCTATGATGTCCCCAATGCTGTTAAAATAAAAATTACTAACATTGACATAATTTGTCTCATAAAAATTGTAAATCTTAAAGATACACCAAACCTTGTTAGCAAGGATTCTCTATTTGCAAGTTTTTCCCAAAGTATATAACCAGAACACATTAACAGACTATATGATCATTACAGTCACATTACTTTAGAAAAACAAGAATGTTCCTAATATTGGTTTACAGATCAGAAATACTTGAGTCAGAGATTTCAATTTTCCATCAACGTACTCAAAGTACCACTATACGTGAGGAAATGATTAAAAGTCTTTTTTTTTTTTTTTAAACAAAAGTATCTGAGAGACTGAGAAAGAAAAACCGACAAATGGCATTTATTTTTAGCAAGTAGTGAATTCAGGTAAACTTCAAGAATTTTTATCATCAAAACATTTACATATTCTGCTTTTATATTAATCAGATGGAGTTAGGTCATGAGACATAAATAGCAGGTGAAAGCAGAAACAAAGTAAAAAAAAAAAGGAAGAAAGAAAGACTGAAAGACCAGGAGCTAACCTTATATGTAGGATTATCACTACAGTAGGAAAGGCCTATTGATGATTTTGATTAAAAAGTGCTATAAAATATTCTTAATATTTGGGAAATACTACAAATAAAACTGAAAATAACATTATATAATGTATTTTAACATGACATAATGAGTTTTTTAAATATAAAATGTTTCTCATAATCAGTTTGTCATTTTATTGTCCTGAATATGTAAATCCTAGAATTTTAAACTTTCCTTTAATACACTAGAGGAATTGGTATTTAACGACAGCTAGGCAACATTTCTCAAAACAGATCTCATTAATTTACCCCTTGGTTTTTTTCATGTTCTTCCTACTGATCCAATAATTGGAATACACACACACACACACACACATATATTTATATATATATATATTTATCTATATATATATACATAATTGGATATATATTTATCACTTGATTTTTTTCACAGTTCTTCCTACTGAAAAAATAACTGGAACATATGTTGTCTTTTATCTTTGGAGATACATATACATATATACACACACATATATACATCTGATAATAAAATATCTGCTATACTACAAAATTATTTTAAACTAAATATAAATAAAGTATAATGTTGAAAAGCAAATAGAAGATTTGAAAGATTAATAAAAAATTATGGATGAATATGAACTAAATACCAGAGGTAGCATTTAACAGGAGGGGGTAGGGGGATGAGAAAAGTAAAAAGGTGTTATCACAGATGGACAAAGAAGGTTATACGTTTTTAAAGGAAAAATGTTAACACTAAAGAAAAACGAAAATCAGAAAGAATACATTTGAAGATACCTAGGTACCACAACAGAGATGACTATGTGTTTCAAAGCAAAAGGCACCAAAATATCCAAGGTCTCTGGCTCTACAACTGTAAATGCAATCTATCCTGTGTAGCACCTCAATGTTACGATATAATTCTTGACCATGAGCTGAAAGAATAGAATACTACTGCATGGAGTACATACAGTTCAGACTGTCCAGGAGCAAATTTACAAGCATGTGGCAACCAATCAGATATATTTTTTACCAATGACCTGGACTTCCAAGAAGTTTTTTTTTAAATTACTCTTTAGTTCATAGTCTACCCAGATATGCCTAAGGAAACAGTCAAGAGAGACACAACAAACAAAAATTTCCTAGACATTCCATAGTTCTAGCCATGAAATCAGATTTATAACTCAGAAAATTAAAACATGTTAACTATAAATCTGTAAAATAACTGTGAGTTTCTAGAGATACTATATCCTGTACTTTCATTTTAATAATTTACTTTTTAATAAATATAACTCTCTCTCTTCTTGAACACTACATGTTAGTAATCTTAAAGGTCTGACCAAAATCTTCCCTCTCCCTTCTTAATCACCATCTCAACTACTCTCTTCCTACTGATTCTCCTATGCATATTTGTACATCCTTGAATTTATCAGTCAGCTTACCATCTTTTATAGAAGACCTGAGCACTAATAACGTAGGAACAGTACCTTTTTTCTTTACTATATATGCACAGATCAGTATAATACACTTCAAAAAGTAGATCAGTCAATAAATGTTTACTGAATTATATTTGTTGTTAAATGCCTCTCCTACTTTTCTAAAATTTAAAATATAGGAATATTAAAGTTATGTCTCAACAATGTAGTTTCTAAATGAAACGGACATAACTTCTTTTTGCCCGAAGACTAATGTAGAGTTAATGTGGAGACAGGTCAGCAGAATTTGGCTCTGTTACATAGATTTATTGGATAATCCAACTTTACACTTCCATATCTAAACAATAAGTGATAATCATAAAGGTGTATCTTCTTAGAAATTACTTCATTACTGACATTAATGCTGAAATGGAGTATATATTTCCAAAACAATTATAAAAACTGCCATTTTCTAGGCATGATGGTCACATAGTTCCAGCTTTCCTTTAAAAATGATTTTTTTAATATTAAAGCTAACAACAATACTCCTGAACTTTATAAGATGAACATATACAAGGGGAATAAAGAGTCTAATTTGGGGGAATGACCACGGACACTATATTAACATATATTTGAAAAAAATTTAAATCATAATTTTGCAAGCAGACTAATAATTTTGCAATAATTTGGAAAGAAATATACTTCAAATATGTATTTCTTCCTGTTTCATTCTGGTCTTTATCAACAAAAGAGACTACTTTTATATATTTTACAGGCTGCCTCCATTATGTAGGAAGAATTTTCATCTTTAGAGAATGTGTATCATAAAGAAGTTTAAATCAAGCAAAACAAACTTCCACCAGAATTAATGTAAAATACTTTATCTTAAAAAAAAACTCCATGCAAACATTTATCAATTCAGTTAAGGATGTTTTCAATTTATTGTTTTATATATTCTATGCCCCTAGAAACCTGGACAATGGGAAAATTGAATTTACCTTCATAGCTCAAATTGCACCTAGCTAGATTTTCAGTGAGGATGTCTAGATCAGACTGTAATGCTAGAAGGGGTTCAAGCAGCTCATATATGAGGTGTGTGAAAGGGTCCAATCGTCTACACTCATCTTCCATTTGATGTCGTATCACTATCCACTGAACAACTGGCAAGCAACAGAACTTGTTTTAGGTTTTTTGCTCTGTTTTATTTTAAGGCATTAAACTAGGAAAATGCCGGCATTTTAGCTTACACTAGCATCCAAAAGAGGAAAATCATGCTACTCCAGAGTTATCGGGAATGGGAAAACATTTACACTCAGAAATAAAATGAAAGATTACTTTCTATTATGCAGAAAAAGAACAGCTGACATTCTATCATATGGTTTTTTCTATTAACTGGTTTTCCTAATTAAGTGAGTGATGTCCAACCTGAGTTTTGGGACAAGCAAAGAGTTTACCAAGAATTTTAAAGGTGAGAAGTAGGAACCAATAATTACAAATAATACCAACTTGAGAACAAGCCAATTATTTTGGGGTAACATTATTAATAAGTCTCAGGTAAAAAGGTTCTTAAAGAGTGACCTATTAAAATGTCTCACTGATAAAAAACGGTAATATATTTTCTTTTTCTTAGATTAAATGTTCTGCTGTCCTACAGATAATGTATGGACTTAGCAAATTTGCTGCAAATAACTTGTGCATAAATAATCAAACAAGTACATAATTTTGGAAGGAAATAAAAAGTTATTAATTTATATTCACATTTGACACTAGCTAAAGAATTCTTGGATATGACTACTACTAAATTATATTAAATGTCTTATAATTTTAAATATTACAAAGTCAGAAACTTTTATATAATTTTGATTCTGATGTATTATATTATCAAGATTTCAACTCTCCTTGCCAAAAGTAAAACTAAAAATTTCTCACAACTTACCTGTTATAATATCGGCCTCCCATCATAAACTGATTGTTTGGTGTTGGACATATTTTAAATCGCTGAATATTTTCATTGGTCCGAAAATAAAGTGAATAGTCACCAGGAGTATTATCTGATGGCCTCACAAGAAAACTGCAGACTTGACCAACTATAAAAATTAAGCTGTTAGTTTTACTCCCTAATTATCAAATTAAAAAAGAAAAAGCGTTAAGTAGTATAATTACAAAATACATTCAAAAGTCAAAAACATACGTAAAATTTTCACCAAGAACTTTTGATTGTTTTGGTTTGGTTTTTTTTTTTTGGCTGCACTGCACGGCTTGCAGGATTTAGTTCCCCGACCAGGGACTGAACCTAGATTTCACTGCCAGGGCAATGAAAGCGCCGAGACCTAACCACTGGACCACCAGAGAATTCCTGAAACTTTTTTAAAATAAAGATAATTTTAAGGCAATTTCTTTTTGTATTTTCTGGTTTATAAGGCACAACCACCCATGATGTTGCTTGTCTTTATTACATAAAAATACAGGGCAGAAATGTGCAGCACTGATTTCTGGTTAATAAGTCTACATCTGTCATAACGTGGAAAGAATACTCTAACCACAGATGGGGTTACTGGCTAAAACTACTATATTCTGTTTGCAAAAGAAAAGTCTAAAAAAGTTAAAGTGAATTTTACTTAAGAATACTCTGTACTTAAGTAATGCTTCTGATTAAACATTAAAAAGTCATAACTATAATAAAATAGTACCAAAAGCTTACAGAAGTAGATTCAAAACAACTGAAATATTTGTGTACCTAATCAAAATCAATACACATGCAATATATTTCATTTAATAGGCACGATCTTGAATAGTCATACAGAAGCAAATTATCATGTATTAAATATTTTCATATTAATTTTAGAGAAGTCTTTTTGACATCTGCAATTGGCAGTGACTTTTACCACTAAGATGCTTTTTTACCTTTTCTCTGTTTAAGTCCTAATGACAGAAAAGATCAGAACTTGATTGCTTTTAGGAAAGTACAATGAACACTTAGAATATCAGGTGTCATTTTTATGTAAATTACTAATAGTTCCAATCATCTATCTAAGGCATTTACTACCAAGTAATTTCATGTTCAGTACAAAAAATAGGAATTACTGCAAAACTGTGCATGCAAGTGCTTATGTGTATTTTTCCTGGGAGAAAATCATCAGACTCTTAAAAGAGCACAGGACCGAAAGAAAATAAAAACTAACGTAAGGAAATTAAGTTTAACTCTTTTTCAATTTACATGTCTAAAACAAGAGTGAGTGCCTCAGGTATTTGGTGGTGCAAGTTCAAAATCATAAGTGTATATTCAAAATTCAGTAAATTCACTAAAATAAATATTTTGGTCCCACTTTGAAAGCAGGTAGCATGTCATTCTGGTTGAGCATTTGGTCGCTGTTACTACCACATAGAATTATCATGTTCTTTTTTTCATTATAGTACTGAAAGTTTCCCCATGCTATTAAATATTCTATGTGAATCTTTTTTTTTTTTCTTTTTTGCAGTACGCGGGCCTCTCACCGTCGCAGCCCCTCCCGCTGCAGAGCACAGGCTCCGGACGCGCAGGCCCAGCAGCCATGGCTCACGGGCCCAGCCGCTCCGCGGCACGTGGGGTCCCCCCGGACCGGGGCACGAACCCGCGTCCCCTGCATCAGCAGGCGGACTCTCAACCACTGCGCCACCAGGGAAGCCCTATCATGTTCTTTAATGAATTTTTAACCTATATCCCCACAATAAAATTGAATACTTCCTAAAACTGCCATAAATCTTTCAAAAGAGCTATTAATTACATTAAAGGCAATGCCTTATGGCTTGAACAGTAACTCAGATAAGATCTTTAAATGATCAGTGGTTTATTCATCATATACATTGAACTCTGGTCATTTTTAAAGAAGTAAGACTTCTAAATTACAGATTACTGCTTAAACTTGTCTCAAGTCCTTCTAAATTTTGGTTTCCTGAAGAGATATTTGGTAACTAAATTAATTCAGTCTTAAATTTTAGTTAGGATAAGTGATAATGAATTAGTTTTTGTTTTAAATAATAAACCCACAGTACAATTCAATTTTTATTTTGCATATCTCTGTAACCACACAGTTTTAGGAAATGTTAAAATCAACATATTTTAAATAAGGCCCAATTTTATAATTCTACAAGTGTACAACGATAAATGCAAGAACATTTGCTGCACCTGAACAGCAAGAAAATGAAAACAACATGATATTCCTCTATAAGAGACTGATAATAAATTATGGTATTTATACAATGGAAAGCTTATGGTCATTAAAAAGAATAATGAAAATTTATATATGCAGATACAGAATGATATCCCAAAATACATCTTAACATGAAAAAAGTGTGTTGTATGTTACTGTGAGAGCGTGTGGGGGGTATGTGTAGCAGGGTAAGTAGGGGTGAGGAAGAAAGACAGACATGAAACTTCTAGAAACACAGGAAAAAACACTCATCTGGCACTGCTTCTAAGGAAGAATACAGGGGACTGGTGCAGAAGGAAAACGCACTGCACTGAATTTTATACTGCATGTTTTCAACTAAAGAACACCCAAAACCAAGAACACCAATTTCTCTGTGCTGGGCAAGAAATTACAATATACATAAATATCAAATGAATGCTAAAAGCAAAATACATGATAAATGGTTGGTTCACTTTTTTATTCTTTTTAAATAACATTAGAAAAGGAAAGTGAATATATAAATACCTGTCATTAGTAAATTATAAGCTTCTTGTTTGGAAATTTTCCCATGGAACCATCTTGAAAAAAGAATATATTAAATATGTAAATCAAAAGTCTTTTTTGCTGTTATACCATTAAAACTAAACAACTAACATAATAAGTTTAATTCAAGCTGACATAATGAAATAAATGCAATGCAATTGATCAAATGACCTCATTCCTTTTACATTTGTTACTACACTTTGTAAACATGCCTAAGTTCAACAAAATATAGAAAAATTAGGGACTATTATGAACTACAATTTCCATATTAATTACCAATACAAAAACAGCAATGATTTTAATTCTGATAATGACAAATTGTTAAGCTTACATCATAGCTAGCATTCTTTTTTCTTTTTATTAGGAGGGGGAGGGGTAGAGGTAGAGCCCACCAGAACTGCCCAGAAAAAAAATTAGTGGATTAATTTTTCTCATACTTCTCTCAAAGTGAATTTCTCTATAAGTTCTCTCTTCAAATCAACATGGTTGATTCATACTTTACTGAAAGCCAGAAAATAAGACTGAATGATGAGAAATAATAGATACCAACATCAAGAACTGAAAGAAAAGAATGACTTAGTATTACTAATTTTATTTGAGCTAATGGCCTATCATATCAGATTGCTAGAATATTTAATATTCTGCATACTTAAAATAAGCCTTTAGAAATTATTACAAAAGGCATTATAGTCAAAATCTACTGCATATAACTAAAGTATTTAAATAATTTACCTTAAAATGATACATCTGGTTTAAAAAATTAATTACTAGTAATTACTTAAAATCTCTCATCTGAAGGACTATTATCTATCTTGCTGATTAAGACATGTTTTATGTTAATACCAAGCTGACAACTCCAGATTACCTCTCTACCACTTTGCCATATATTCTTAGGGTCTATAATTATTTTTAATTGTGGCTTAAAGAGCAAGTTGGAAAGTAAAAATACTACAAGACTAAAATATATAAATGCCCTAAAATCCAATGTTACAGGTTTAGAGGCTGTTCATACTGTTTTAAATTATGCATATTATTACTGGTCAGAGTATAAAATATAACTGAATTTTTACCTTTTCACATGAATAAAATGTTTAACTTTTACTTTCTCTCTTTTACTTTATTCCAACCCTTAACTCAATAACTCAGATTTCCTGAGGCTCCCAATGCTAATTATGAATAATTTAAAACAAGTATACAATAACTGGAGCAGTCCAGGCTGCCTTAAAAGGCAGTAAAGTTCCATACTGCATTCAAACACAGCTGAAATGACCATTTACTACAAATGCTAAAACAGCATTTCTATATTCTAGTAGATAGTTGATTAGATGACCTCGAAGGCCCATCCTATATTTCTCTATAGCTAGAATAAAGGAGAAAAGGGGAATTTGAAAGGGGGAGGGGGCAAAAAATAGCGTTTAGAGAACAAATTGGCAATACTGTTTCCTGAAAGGATTGGATCTGAGTTTCCTCATTCAGGCATTTATTAACACATGTAAAATGAGTATATTTCAAGCACATGGTTTGTACCAATAATAGAAAAATGAGACTGTGACCTTAGGAAGTCCCCATTCTAGTAAGAAAAAGGAACATAAATACTGTATAACTATAAAAGAATGTAGAAAATATAACAAAGTGCAGTGATAGGTACATGCTGAGGGCATTTTTAGAATAACAGAGAAAGGCACCAATTCTGTAGGGTGTATAAGGGGGAAGATAACAGAAGACTTCTTGGGAAGAGTGATAAATGGGTTAAGTCTCTAAGTAAGAATAGGCATTAACCAAACACAATGGAGGGGAATTCTGGCCTAGGAAGTAGCTTGAGCGAAGGAGAAAAACAGTACTGAGCATTTGAAGATCTACAAGCTGGAGAGTAGAATATAAAACTAGAAATGACAAAAGATAGGGCTTATAAAGGACACAAGACCTGGATCAGATCTTTTCAGACTCTGCCAAGGTAAAGAGAATCAGGTAAGAATTTTAAGTGAGAAAGTAATACAGTCAGACACATGTTTTAGGTAGATTATTCTAGCTGTTAGAAGAAAGGATTTGAGGAGACTAAAGTGTCAAGCAAGACCAACTTAGAGGTTACTGCTACATCAAAGTCCTGGTACGAGATGAAAAGGGCCTGAACTAGAATATGGTTGCTTAAGACTGAGAAGAAGGCACACATTCAAGACATATTTTAGAAGATAAAAATAGCAGGACTTGGTACTTGTGTCATGGAAATATGGAGCTGAAAAGGAACACAGCTGAAGTTATACCATCTATTTAGTCTCAAAAGGCACTCGGGGATGTTACTGAGGATGCTTCACTGCCAGTCAACACCTTAAGAAATCAGAGGGAGCTGACAAATACATAAAATAAACCAACAATGCAAATTTAGCTTATGCTAAATACCAAATAAGTTGAAAACTGTAAAGTTCAGAATATGGAACGATCACAAATGTATTAAATTTTTAAAAAAGATTTCCCAGTGAAACTGGGATTTATACTTTATGTTATAAGAAAACTGGATATAGCTTTAAATGTTTATTGGTATTTGACCTCTCTTTATTTATTTATTTTTTTTTTATTTTTTTTTTTAATTTTTTTTATTTTTTGCGGTACGCGGGCCTCTCCCTGTTGTGGCCTCTCCCGTTGCGGAGCACAGGCTCCGGACGCGCAGGCTCCGCGGCCATGGCTCACGGGCCCAACCGCTCTGCGGCATGTGGGATCCTCCCAGACCAGGGCACGAACCCGTGTCCCCTGCATCGGCAGGCGGACTCTCAACCACTGCGCCACCAGGGAAGCCCTGACCTCTCTTTTTTTTCTTTTCTTTTTAAAAAGAATTTATGGTATTATTTTAAATAGGGATAAAAATATAGATTTCTTGCTTCTCTTGAAAATCAGGAGGCTTTCATAACACTAGACTCACACACTTTCACACATCAGTTAGACCGGTCACCTCACTGCCAGCAAACACTGTCTAGTTTTTGACTTCCTGCAGTCTTCTGTGATACAAACAGTAAATGTTAGTTTCCATTTACTACCACACTTGCAGTGTTATTTTCTTACAGTAGCCAAACAGTTCCATGTCCCTTGATCGCTATCAAAGTGGGAAAATAAGAAAGATCAAGATTATTGTAATTTGAGAAAAATGGGAATATATACACCTGACCCAGTTCATTTGCTTACATTATCTGTATGCCTCCTCCAAACATTAATTAGAATTTGCAACTCCTCATATAGGTAGTGAGAAGACTTCAAACTAGTACAATCAACAAAGTACAGTCCCACTGATGAAACCTAGTTTGCAGCTACACAGAACAATAAGGAAAATGAACTCAGAAAATCTCATATGTTCCACTTAAGAAAGGGTGGGAACTAAATTAGATGACTGAAAGTGGAGTATTCAGTTTGTTTTCATGTTCTAATGGTTAGAATTCAGAATAAGCAAACACTTGAGAGGCAAGCCTTAAATTCCATCCATAATTGCCGACAGGAAGGTAAGAAAAAATATTCCACTGAAAACATATTAGATGAACAGTTTATTAAAATAATATGAGTAAAACAGAATTTGGATTAAGAGTTAAGCCCTTGGGCTTCCCTGGTGGCGCAATGGTTGGGAGTCCGCCTGCTGATGCAGGGGACACGGGTTCGTGCCCCGGTCCGGGAAGATCCCACATGCCGCGGAGTGGCTGGGCCTGTGAGCCCTGCGTGTCCGGAGCCTGTGCTCCGCAACGGGAGAGGCCACAACAGTGAGAGGCCCACATACCGCAAAAAAAAAAAAAAAAAAAAAAAGAGTTAAGCCCTTTAGATACGGGGAGGGGGAAGGGTAAACTGGGAGGAAGTGAGAGAGTAGCACTGACATATATACACTACCAAATGTAAAATAGATAGCTAGTGGGAAGCAGCTGCATAGTACAGGGAGATCAGCTCGGTGCTTTGTGACCACCTAGAGGGGTGGGATAGGGAGGGTGAGAGGGAGATGCAAGAGGGAGGGGATATGGGGATATATGTATACATACAGCTGATTCGCTTTGTTATATAGCAGAAACTAACACACCATTGTAAAGCAATTATACTCCAATAAAGGTGTTAAAAAAAAAGAAAAAAAATTTTTTTTTAAAGTTAAGCCCTTTAAAAGAAAACATATATACAAATAAATATCAAGAAGGATGAGAAGGACACTAAAAAAGATCTTCAAGGACATTAATAAAATTAGAGCATAGCTGAAACACCATGTGGAGTGATCTCCCATAAAAGCAACTAATAACTTCTGGAATATAAGAGAAAAATGTAGCAAACAGTAGGAATATAAGATAAGAATGCGGCAAGTAGTAGGTGTAGTAATACCTGGTCTTTGAATTAGCCCTTATACTTAAAATCAGCCTGAAAAAATTATGAAAATAAAGTCCTTGCAGAATCTTATTAATATGGTAAGGAACCATAATTTGGGGGAAAAGCTCTGTGACTTTAAAAAAACAAAAACTGAACCATAAAGTACATAAAAGATAATGGCAATAAAAACAAGAAACACTATGAATAAATCAATCAGAAAACAAAAAAAAATGTGAGGAATTATGACATTCATAATGTTATTAACGTACTGTTTATCAAAAAGTCTTTAGTTTGGTGATATAAGAGTTATATGTAGGTATAAGCCACCTTCATTATCACTAGGTCCTTAAGAAAATAGTTAGAAATCAACTCAAGCCAAATAAAAAAAAATGTTTAAGTCAGCTCAAGAAGTATCAGTTTTCTTTTAAAATATTTTTAGATCAAAGTTTTCCAATTAGTAAGTTTACAATATATTTTTTTCCCCTTTAATAGTTAACACAGACTTACATTTTGCCTTCATGTGGATCTTCTTCCCGGCCCTAAAGGGAAAGACATTAAGACAGTTTCTTATGTAATTATTAATATACTTCTATTAAAATTAATAAAATCTTATCTTCAAACATATCTACACCCTGACCTTCATATTTCTTTGTGTATATACAAGAAAAGGTGTTTCTATTCATGAAAGGTCTTTCCAAAACTCTCCCCCTTAGTCCTCTTCTCTCTTTGTTGTGATTACTCTAATCCAGGCCCTTCTCATCTCTTAAACTATTAACAACAGCCAACTAGTATAATTACCTCTGTGCCCCATCCCACCCCACCACTCCAATCTGGATTCATCAGTTTCAACAGCAACTTTGCCCTGCATTAAGAAACACCAAACCAAACCAAACAAAAATAAACAAATTTTAAAAACCAGACCTTTAGTACCTCTCTACTGCCCACAAAGTCCTCAGTTTACAACCAGAATCCTTTACCAAATGACTCAAGTCTACGTTTCCTGTCTCATACTACCATTTCTCTTTAGGTATCTATACCATGGTCACTCATAAACTACTTCTTTGCTAATCTACATTTTCCCACCACTGTAGCTTGCTCTTTTTTACTTAGAATGTCCTTTCCACTCACTACTTCCTACCTGTTAGTTAAAACCTAAACCATCTAGGCAGGATCTATCTCAAACACTACCGCCTCAGTAAGACACTGAGTCCCTAAAACATAAACATGAACTTTTACTCTGAATAGAAAAGACATCCTTCTTTTTTCATCTTTTGAACTTTACCCTACTCTATTTGATATTGCCATTATTTAAGATATACTAGGTGATATTCATTCCATTATCGTGGCTTTATAAGCATCTTAAGACCTGAGCCATTTTTTGTTAACACTGACTACCACAACCACTAGCACAACGCTTGGCACATAATTTTCACTGAATATCTGTTGAATTGTAGTCCTAGTACCCTGCACAGTACCTGCATCGAGTTTCCATTGAATAACGAAGGAAAGGGTAGAAAAATGAACTAAGTACACAAGGTTTTACTTCTCTAAATTTGGTCCTCACTCACATATCAAATATCTAACCAAATTAAAATCAAACACTTGCTAAATGCCTTCTATATTACAAAATGCTAAAAACAAATTACATAAAAACAAAATGCATTATCGCTGCCCAAAAGGAGTTAATCTCTATATAAGAGGTTTACAGAATAAATTAATTTTAAATATAACGGGATATAAGTTAACAAGGTGCTATGGAAACACACGAGGAAAACAACTTAGCCTAAGAAAGGGTGTGAAAAAAGGGGCAACATCTGAGCCAAACTGATAGATGAATCAAATTTTACAAAGCAGTTTAGCAGGGCAGGAGTGTCAAGGAAGAGGGAAAAGAATATGCATAGAGACATCCGTTCATTCAACAAACAGTTACTGAATGCCTGCTAATCCAGACATTAATCTAGGCAACAGGGACACACTGAATCAGAGACAAAAATCCTCATAGAGCTTACATTCTGGAATTAAGACATAATATAGTACAAATGTGCTTGGAGAACAGTAATGAAAATTAGAATTTCAGGGTGGGAAATTCCTTAAATCCATCCAGCAACCAAATGTCTGAAATCTAGACAATCTCCAAATGGCTCTCCAATCTACAAGGATTCACTATGTTCCAATGAAGACCATTATGAAAAATTATTCTAAATACTGAAGTAAAAACTGTTTATAATTCTAACTTGGAACCATTCCACTACTAATTCAAAGTATGACCATATTCATTTTTAACAGCCACATCACATTGTTCACTCACACTAAGTTGTTAACTTGTTCTTTTTTTTTTCTTTCCTTGTATGTTAGGTCATGTCTCCTTATCTTAAACTGGGCTTTTGTTTTCTTTTTTCCCCTATATTCAACGGATAACTTTCACTTATTAAAATTTATCTTGTTAAATTTGACCCAGAGTTCCAAGAGCTTGAGAGAAAAGTTCAACTACACCTCAATTCCTTTAAATAATCAGAATAATGGGAGTAGGGGGGTTACAGCAGAAAGAAAATCCAACATACTACTAAGAAACTTTGTAGTAAAACTAACGTAGATGTTAAGATTCTTCAGTTTGAACACTTCCCGTCCATACAGAATAAATATCACTCTTGCTGTAGATACAGAATTCTAATCTAGGAATTAGTTCTAATCCCAGCTCTTCCACTAAGTAACTATGTGACTATGAGTATGGAACGTATCATACCATTTCCTCAACTCCTCCCACTTTTCCTCAGTATGTTTTACTGCTACATATCAAGATCTGGCTGCCAGAATAGGCAGACAAGAGAATTAATAGCAAAGAAAAATATTCTCCACTGCCGTCCTCCTGGAACAATAATCAGAGCACAGGTTTCGGCATATTACCAGGTTCAAGGCATAATTTAAAAACAGTCACTCTGAGGGTTGTAAAAAATAACAGACAACCATTCCATCCTGCTGGACAAATCCGAAAGAGAAGAGTGAATTCCAAAACTATAATACAATGTTTAATGTTTCAGTGATACTCAATACTGTATCTGAAATGCATATGCCGCTTGAACGCTGATCTGTATCTAAAAATGCACAAACACGATTATTTATAGTGTCTAAGACTACTGATAATGTATTTTGTGATGACATTGAAAACAAGGGAAATATTCAAAATATAGAACCATGTGATAATATATGTATAATATAACTCCATTTTTCCAAGGTTACTAGAAAATTATACATATATTTGGGAGATAAAGAGTTTGAAAGCAAATGTGCAACCATTTGAGATTCCATGATCAGTTGGACATAACATCATTTATAAGGAAGACCAAGAAGACAAAAAGGGATACAAATAAGCACACATGTTAATACATTTTTAATTCTTAGAAACTCATGAAAACATCCTGAAAATTGGCAACCACAGATTAAAACATGCTAGCTTGGTTGTGCTCTTTACAAATAAATAGCATTACCAACAGTAAATACGTTTTAATGAAAAATTACCTGTACTTATGAATTGAGGTTTTTCATAAAAGAAACATATCCATAGCTAATTTCCCTGATTATGGACAAGTTCCAAAATTTAAAAAGTATTTAGAACTCTGAGAAGGAGAAGAAAAGAACAAAACTTACCACCTCTTCTACTAGGTCTTCAACAATAAGACCTTGTTCATCTGTTCTTAGATTTGTAACCCACATCCATCCATCTTCTAACTCGTTATGAACAATGAACATATCTCCTTTTAAGAAACTGAAAATAGCAATTATGAAGTTATTAAAATTAAATAAAATTTTTAAACATGGAAATTTAATTGATTATGTACCACCTCACAGAGATAATATGATACTGGAAAACGCAAGGGGTTAAAGTCAAATACTCTAGATTTTTGTCTGTTTCTGTCATCATCTACATGTAAAAGACACTTATCTGAATCTTAATTTCGACATGCATAAAATGGGTTTAATAACGGTACCTATACCATCTGTATCACTGGATTATTGTTAGATTCAAACTGGAATTTATGTAAACAGTAATTATACATATATTACAGGCTTTGGGGTGTAACTACAAGAAAACTGAACTTTGAAATTTAAGTTTCAATGTTATTACTCTTTCAGATATAGGTTAGACATAAAATTATAAACGTAAACTAAATATTATTAACTCATTCCACATATACAAGATAAGGTTACTTTAGAAGAAGTTTATTTTAAATAAGCATAATTAGCCTTATCACACAGATGCTTATGAGAGTAACATTTTTCTCATAAAAAACATTAGGGTTTATTTAATTCACTCAGCTATCCATGGTCCAACAAGTATAGCATTCTTTCTCCGAAAGTGGTACCAAGGGGTATATATAATGAGAATGCATGCATGTTTTTTCTGTTACCAATACCTGAGTGGAGGGATGTATACACAATCTAGTTTCTTTTCATTGGAATCTAGATGTTTTCAACCTCCACACAATCACAGGATTAAAAAGTTGTTGATGTATGTCATCAATATAAAACCATCAGTAATTCCTTGAACTTTTCCTTTTAGGCTTGAACAAATGCCTTTGAGTGCTTAAGGTTTTAAGATTGACTGGATGCTACCATTGACGCTGTATCTATATCCCTATCTGTAATATATATGTATTTTTAAGATAAATTTTCCTTTAAGTCTTAATATTCACAAACCAAAGTTATAGTAAGTAAATCTCTTCTCATACCTTTGAAAACTTTGTTTTTCTCTAAAATATCTGAAGCTTCACTGTTACTTGGACCAGTTCAAGGATAAAAACTTGTACACGATGCTTCAGATGCACTCTTTTTGAATAAGCACAGAATACTGAATTCTACCTTGATTCTACAACTCTTAACAATGACCAGTATTTCACTAACTGAAAGGGGGCAGACATTACCACTTAGCCAAGTATAAATTTTTCCTTTCCGGAACCAACCACCTAAATAAATACATTAAAATAGAAGTCAAAGAGAAATGAGAAATGACAAGTTTCATTTTGGGTCAAAAGCAGTCCTAAAAGATTTTTTTTTTTTTAATTTTGACTTGTTTCTATACTACAAACTTTTTATGATGCAAAAACCAAAAACATGAAAAATAAAAAGCTTACTGGCAGAAACATCATAATCCTAAGATTAATTATGCATTATTTTGCATTTTTCCTCAAAACAGGTTAAAGTGCTTTATTAAATCTCATTAATCTTCAGATGTTTTTACTTTAAAAAAAACCAAAACACTTCTCAGGTATATATAAATTTAAAAGGACTCATAACTTCATACATATTTCTGTCATTCTAATTCTTGTTTAAATTTTCATCTTCCTAGATCAGAAGTACTCAATTTTTGGAAGGTCTCTCAGGACCCCTTTACAGTTTTAAAAAGTGATACCCTAACAGGCTTTCATTTATTCATTTACATGGATTATATCTATTGATAATTACCATATTAGAATTTAAAATGTAAATGTTTAAAAATATTTATTAATTCCTCTTAAAATAATAATATACCCTATTAACATGGTAACATAAAAAATAGTTATAATCTTTACAAGTTTAATAAGAATATTATTGCCTTGCATTTTTGCAAATCTCATGTCTGGCTTAACTGAAAACTGTTGGATTCTCATATCCATTTCTTTATTCAATCTGTTGCTATATGGTTTTTTTGCTTAAAGTATATGAGGAAAATCTGGCTTTATACAAATATGCAGTTGTGAAAGGGATGAGTATTTTAATAGCCTTTCAGATAATTATAGATATTCTATTACATTAACCCCCAAACTTGACTAGTGGTACTTTCTTGGAGGTTGGTTGTAATGTGGAATCTAAAACTATGTATCAATGAACTTTCTGTACCATTCTAATAACCTCTATTGGTCTACTTTGCACTGTGAATGGATCTTTTACCCAGCCATAATTTTGTAACATCATGCATTGATCATTTAGAAAATACTGGTTCACTGAGCTATGCAGATCATCCAGATATAAACACATTATACAGTATCAAAACATCACATTCTTCAATATCAGCACCATTTCATCAGAAAAGTCATTAAGTATCTAGGAAGCTGTCAAACTCCTGATGGCAAATATAGGGTTTCCAAAATACTAATTTTTCCTCGAAAGCTCAAATTGTCATTGGCAACAAATACTGCCAGTTATTTCCCTTGAAGTAACAGATTCACTTTGTCCTTTAAAAAAAAAAAAAAAAAAAAGTCAGATATTCCAGTCTGAATAACCATAATTTGCCTGTCAGTCATTCTCCTTAGTGAAAATGATGTGCACAAAAAAAAAAAAGCAGCTAGTGCAGCTCTCAAAGCACCTCTTTTCCTCAAGACTTTGAACTGTGGTACACGGTAGAGGTGCTTTATGAGTATGTCCCATTTCATCACAAAGATATTAAAAAGATGTGTAGCCACAGGTTGAGATTTATAAAACAAATATTTTTTATTGTCTCACCAGGAACACTCGTAAGCGAAACTGGCTTTTTTTGTTTAACTGCAAGCATGGGGCAGTGAAAAACGATATACATTTGTTACCACTGCCTTGATTTGTGCTAAGACACCAGCAGTTTTACTATCCATGGTTTCTGAACCATCATGTAAATGTCACAGTGAAAAAGGCAAATTACGTCTTAGTATTATTATAAAAATAGTTTTGATCTTATGAATCTTCTGAATGGATCTCAAGGATCCCCAGGCTACATGGATCACACTTTGAGAGCTGCTGTCCTAGATGACCCCACTGGGAATTTACAAATTACCCAAAATTCCCGAATTTGCAGTTCAGTGCTGTTTTTCTTTCCCTTCTCTTTCTTTCACTGGCTTTTCCAGCTTAGATCACAAAAAAAGGTGTGCCAATAAGAACTAAATGAGAAGTTACTTTGAGGACAATCATATAAAAATGGAATGCCTACTTGGAGATTTCAGATAGTTGAATCTTTGTTTTTTAAAATACCATATTTCCAGAAACTTTTAGTACCTCCCAAAAGTTATCACTACATTTTAAATACTGCTGTTGATTTCAATGAGAAGCTGTAAACTCAGAATCAGTAATTATTCAAAGTAGCCTTAACATTTTACCAATAATAAACAAATTTTCTATCAGAAAGCTAAACTTATAGAAAGATACAGATAATTTGATAATAATTATCAAATTATATAATAAATCAAATTCTATAGAAATAATAAAAACAAATTATATATAAGAACTCTCCTTACTTTGTCACAGATAGTCTAATAAAAGCTAAGTTATTTCTCCTGTCATCTTCACTGTGGCCTCTCTGATCCAAATTCACAGTCTGAACAGATAAGCCAACACAGGGGGACAGGAACAATGGACTTAATATTAAGGGCATGCTTTGCTGGATGCTATTTCCTCAATTTCCAAAACCTTCCTAGTCCAAGAGCAACAAATTTTCAGTCTTTCAAATGCCTGTTTCAAATGCCTATAAACGAGATTATATTATAAAATACCTTATTTCATCAGTGTCTGGTACTTTTGTGTAAGGGAGAATGGCTCGAACACGCCTTCTATCTTCTACTGGCTAGAAACCATAAAAAAATTGATTTACAAAAGATAACCTTTCTATGTCAAAGTCAAATTGGGTATGTCCACACAAAGTTAAAGCCAGTAAAACTCCACAGTATAAATTCTGTAGGATCATTCAAACTATTTTTTACTGAGGCTCTAAATACCCAAACCCTGGAAATGCTCATCTTGTTTTGTTGTTGTCTGTACAGAAATTCTTTTAACAGTACAACCAATATGTTTTTAATCAGGTAATATGAGTTATTTAATTTTAAATACACTACGCAACATATAAAGTAACCTTTCTCCAATGATGCAGAAGACATTTCAGAATCTTGCAGCAACTTCAGCATTAGCACTATGATATCAGTAATTACTCCTCATTCATTCAGAAATATGTTAGGGTATCACCGTACAGTACAATAAAAAAAATCTAGTCACTTAAATACAAAGTAACAGAAAAATTACTCTTTTTTTAAAGAAGTTGCCAGTTATGCTGACACTACAACCAGAATTAAATCTTGAATTATATTATAATAAACATCACGAGAAACTGAACAAGAGCTAAACCCATTAGTAAAGTGAAATAATAAAGTTTTGAAAGATATTTTACTTGCCTCTGGAGGTGCAACTGGATAAAGCAATTTTTCTCCTTTAAGCAAACAGGAAACATGACTGTAATAACCTATTAGGTCTGACAGAGAAGAAAAACGTCTTCCACCAATGTAGTAATCCCCACACATAGCAATAATCCTATTTGTACAGGAAAAAAAATACAGTAAAACAAAAACCTTTATAACCAATTTTTAAGACCAAGTTCCATATAAATTATAAACTGATAATTTTCATACTTTTCCTTTATCTGCATCCTTATATTAAAATACCACTTATTAATACCTTCACCATATGCAAATTACTTGAGGTTATTATTTCTTTTGAAAAGATATATGTATGCATTTGATATGAAATACATATTTGACTTGTAAACCTCAATTACATAATTCATTAAAATATTTATAAATCCATCCTCAGATAACTCTTCTTACTTTCCATATTTAAGACAAAATAGCAATTTTAATTAGTTTTCTTTGGTTAAAAGTAGTTTACAGATCTCTTGAAATATTTACAGAGTATAATAATAATTTCACATTTTACATGTGATATGACAGTACTCTTAAAGTCTATTTTAAAATCTGAAAATTAAGGGTATACATTTTATCAGTTAACTTTACAGCACTAGATAATTTTTTTTCAATGGCTCCCATAAAAATGAAATCAAAGACAATAATATATGTAAATATATTGATACAGACTTTGATATCTGTACTTGAAAATCTAGATGCCTGTTTAATTGAAATGAATGCAAAGAGTTTCAGAACAGTGAAGCTAAAATGAATTAAACTGCACTCTTAAAATACTGTTTGTATTTTCTGTTACTCTGTGGTCTGAAAGTATACATTTCCTTTGTTTTTGCTTTACCACTCAAAGTTTCTTTGTAATTCTTTATACTTTAAAAGTGATAACTACACTTATGATTAACACAAAAAAGTCCAATAATACTGTTTTTTTAAAAAAATGTAAGCACTCAATAGTATCTACTCTAAATCACTTATTAAATCATTTAATTGAAAACACATTTCTTTCTCCATTATTTAAATGTCACTAAAGCAGGTATATTTATGAATACTACAGCAAAATAGCTACAGTATGTAGCCTTGTAATAGGAATAAAGACTTACCTAAAATGGTTGACAACATTTGTCTGGCTAAGAAATGAAAGTACAAAGGACCCTGGCCTCCGATCACTCTCTCTTATAAGGTAACTGCCGGACTTCCCTGCCTGCCTGAGGCGTTCCTCTGCTATCGTTCTATCAAGTTTTCCATGATACCACCTAAGAAAAAAGGTTAAGAAATTAGAATAAAAATAGCAACCATAAAATTACTATTGGCAGTTGAAAAACATACTACTACAGATTTTACATACCTACATGTAACTTAGACATTTACATTTTACTCTGAACCAGTCATTCCAATTTTAACTCAATTGTTTTAAATTTCTCAGTCTCTCAAAAATAATTCATTTACTCAGTTCTTAATCTGTTCGATAAGCTCAGGTCTAATCACCTCACATATTCACCTCTTCTATTTCTGCCCATCTCTCTACCTCCAGGACTGTCTACCTGTTCAAGATACAAACACTTACTACAATCTAATGCCTACCTAGAAAAATAAGAGTAAGATGAACATATGGAAACAAATGGTTCATTTATTACCTCTCTATATACTAAGGAACCAAGACTTGATATAACAAGGCACATGGTACCTGGGAGAAAATAAAACTTTATTCCATTTTAATGTTTGTGCCCTAAAATAGGAAAACAGAATGACACTGTCTAAAGGCTGCTATTCTAATTTCCTATTTCAATATGAAGCTGATTATTCTCTTTTGTCTTAAGATGATCCATTCCATAACCACACATTTGAACCCTTCATATTTATTTAACAAACATGTGGGAAATACTGGGTTGGCCAAAAAGTTCGTTTGGTTTCCCCATAACATCTTACAGAAAAACCCAAATAATACCTTTGTCCCTTTAACTTTCCTGCTCTCAATTTAACTATCTTCTACCTACCATACTACTAGATGATTTGCTTAAATGACTGGCTATACCATGGCTACCACTCTAGCATTATCCATACTACCAATCTATGCCTATAAAAGCCACATGGCTTGATATAAACAGAAGCACTCTTAGAAACAGACTGGAATTTTCATATGGTCCTGGTAACAAATCTACAAAGTAATTGTTATGAAATAATTTTACACTTTCCTTTGGTACTTGTCTAACTTGAAACATTCAGAGGAAAACAATAAACATTCACATTACATTGATATACTTAAATATCTAGCCATAAGTTGACAGTCAAGACTATAATAGAACTATGACTATTTTTGTAAGGTTGCTGTAATGAAAGCTTACATTGACTCCTTAGTTTATTAAAAAAACAAAAACAAAAAAAACTTAGAACTTCCCCCAAAGAATTATTATTAATTTTCTTCTAAAACCCAACCCATTTATTTGACAGTTTGTGTATAAGACAGAAATAAAATAAATGATGAAAAACAATCATGAAGCTTCATTATAACTCAATAGAAAAAAACATAATTGTAAACCATTAGTATTAGAGGAAGAAAGGAAAGAACAATAAATATTGCTTTCCTCTAAAATTCTAGTCTTAGTTCAACCACTGTCTTTGAGGCTACTGACAAGCAAATTTAGCTTTTAAGAGCTGTTTGTGTGTGTGTTTTTTTTTTTTAATTCTAATAGGAAAAGCTTGGACCAATGATCATTAAAAGTTCCTTGAAGAGCTAAAATTTAATGGTAGATGATCAGGACAATACTTTGAAATTCTAGGCTAGAAGTTTATTTAACTGTGAAAATATATGGGACAACCTTGGAATATGAACCTGGTACATTCCTTATTACCTTAAGTAGTGGAGCTAACCCACAGAGCAGATTTACACATTGAACAAAGACAAAATTAAGGACAATTTTAAACAAAGTACCTATTTTTGTATACTTGATACCTGTTAAATTTCTGGTGTGTTTTAAGCAAAATGTCAAGATTAAAAGATTTTTTAATCTCATTCATCTTGTGAACTCACCATAAGACGATACACAAAGGTGCATGAGGCATTACACAATAACTAATTTATAATAAATACCTGACTAAAGACTTTTATATATTTGTGATTTTCAATTTTTACATCTATGTACTTTCTATAAGATTCTGGCATTAAAACAGGTATTCAGTTCAAGACAGAGACATAAATCTTAATAAACAACTTTGTTTCCTGATTATTAGTAATTCCTTTTATGCCAAAAACTCTTGTTTTGAACACATTAGGTAAAACATCTCAATTCTTGATTATGACTATAAACTGAAATTAAATTATCCAATAATAGGCTTATGAGCACATATGTAGTTGAGCATGATCCTCAAAACATTCCATTGTTACAAGTTTCCAACTGTTCTAGGAAAAAACTGAATGGTCTTAATCAAAACTTAGAATTTCTTGAATTATCCTTATTGTTCACTTCAAATTATCAAGGTGAATCATACTAACAAGAATATTTTAAATATCTGCACAGATAGGATGGCTGCACTGATACCTCCTAAACGTCTTCAGAAGAGATTAAGCTGACTGGTGAGACTAGGACTTATCAGAAACCTCCATAATTATGGTCAAGTCTCTATACTTTGTACCTCATTACTATCACTTGTAAAAAAAGGGAAAATAATCTCCATCTCAACCTCAGAATACATTAAATATTTGTCCTAAACTTCTTCAAAGAAAAACAAAACTGAAAAAGCACTATATAGGCTGTACAGTATAATGGTTAAGAGTAAAGACTCCAGAGTCACTGCTTGTGTTTGAATCCTAGCTCTGCCACTTGGCTGTACAAATATGGGCAAATTTCTTAATTTCTTAGCCTGAGTTTCCTCATCTAAAAAAGGCACATAATAACAGTACCTGCTTCATAGAAGGTTGCATGATATTATTATAAATAAACTAATACATACAAAATTATATACATATAAATTATATACAGTATACATAGACTATGGGGCTAATTCAGCTTCATCAATGAAAATATCAAATTTTATACTGTTGCATAATGGATGATTAGATCACCTAAGCCTCTGTTATCGTCCAACCTTCCAGTCCTCTTTACACTGCATCTAATTCTGGGAAAAGAATAGGAGAAACCAATCTTCATTTCTGCTAAAACACTGATTTTTAAGAGGAAATTTCTTTTTCCAAAGCGTCTTTTTTGAACAGTAACAGATGATACATATTAATTGACATTGGACGCTCCAAAGTATTCATAAACTAGAAATTCTTCCACTTTTGGCAATTCTAAAAGGCAACCCTCAAATAGCCCCACTCTTTCCCCAATGTGGATATATTCTTTGGAGGAATGGCAAAGACAATATGCATTTGAGATACTGTGACTTAAATCTGCCTAAATTAATACTTTAATAATAAAATATCTAATGTTCTATTTAAAAGTAAACTATCCCTCTCTCTTGTTCTCTCTCTCTTTCAAGGAAGATTGGGAAAAGAAACAGCAGGAAATTTAAGAAGTAAATACATTTTTCTCAGCTAGTTTTGCAATTTTTGGTTGCGAAATCCTACAGACAGATATGGAGTCTCTTGATTTCATTTTCTTAGACACTACACAATCAGTTTATCTAAAATAAAACATCCAAGATGAAACTACATATTAAATAAGTCAACAAGAAAAGAGACAAGTTGGACAAGCTGCAGGAATTTTACTTTTAAATTTGGAATCACATGAATGTTTTTATAAACATGTTGTACACTGGTGCAGTATATTTAAGGGGCCTTTGGAGGGCCTTTGTGTTTTTTAGTCTCTCCTAATCAGGTAGAATAATATAGAAATCTATACGATGAGAAAACAACCTGGTGTGAATATAGACAGACACAACTCAAACTACACAATTATTTAAAACTAACGTGACAATACTAAATGGAAACTGTCTACTACAGTAGAAAACAATTAAAATAGCACTACCATCAACAAGCTTCCTTTGTCTAAAAAGGAAACTAAATTGAAGTTCCCAGCAGATCACTTTTACTTTCCACTAGGCTTTTCTTCCTAGTTATGTCACTGACAGGCACTAAAGTTCTGAGAGAAACGTAAGTGCAGAAATCTAATTGCCAAAAAATCTCTTGTCACCTGAATTACCTGGAACTCTGTGTGCCTGATCATACCATGAACTTCTAAAGTTTTTCTGTAACTCTCAAAGATGTTAATCATATTTTCTCACACATGCTGTCCTTTCTGAAATTAAATTGGTTATTTCAGTCTGGTTAAGACATATACTAAAAACATTTGCTAAAACTACTATAAATCTCCTAAAACCTCCATATTTCTTTTCTTTTTTTTTTTTTTTTTTTTTTTTTTTTTTTGGTTTGTGGGCCTCTCCGTTTTTTTTTTTTTTGCGGTACGTGGCCTCTCACTGCTGCGGCCTCTCCCGTTGCGGAGCACAGCCTCCGGAGGAGGCGTAGGCTCAGCGGCCATGGCTCACTGGCCCAGCCGCTCCGCAGCATGTGGGATCTTCCCGGACCGGGGCACAAACCCGTGTCCCCTGCGTCGGCAGGCGGACTCTCAACCACTGCGCCACCAGGGAAGCCCTCCATATTTCTTTTTAACTAACATAGTCCCCACAGTCATACAGTCTGAGCTGGTGGTCAAGAAAAATAAACTGACTTTTTAAAGTGAAGGCAAAGTAAAGATACCTTACAGTAAATGATTTTATTGTCTTTTTTTCCCCCCACATTGTTATGCAGACAGGCTAAAATTTGGTCACTAATGAATTCACCTGAACAACCACTGGACTAAGCATAAGAGGTGTAGTGCCCCTTAGACCAACTGCATTACTTAAGAAATATTCATGTGTATGTTTGACATCTTGAGTATATTTGTGTGTTCAGGCAAATAAGAAGTATGTGTGTATGTCTGTGTGTTTGTCTATGCATTTAATTACATATCTCAGATCAAATTAGCTCAAGAAAAGAACAGAAATTCTATTTCCTTTTGCCACAGGTAACATATTTACAGGGTCCAAAGGAGGTTTAAGTTCTGTGGGAGTATTTTTTAAAGAAACAGCACTGTTACATGTCCATCCACTCAAAAATTCAATTTACTGAAAGACTAATATACTAAAGGTGGGACCAACAACATATGCTTATGCAATCAAAAGTTTATATTGGACTTCCCTGGTGGTCCAGTGGTTAAGACTTTGCCTTCCAATGCAGGCGTGCGGGTTCAATCCTTGGTAGGGGAGCTAAGATCCCACA